TATACAGTTTATCCATTTTTTTGTACTATTATTTTTTCACTAATCAATCGAAACAAGTTAATTAAATAACGAATTAGATCTAATATTGAAATTTAAAACATATTTTTGTATAATGCTCGTCGTATATTTCCCGGAAATGTGTCTCGGATCTTAATCCTTAGGCTTCATTCGGAGGAGTAGGTGAAGCCTTTTTTCAATTTTCGCAGGTAATTCCTTCAGTCCTAGCAGCGCTTAAGCATGAGCTTATTACACCAAATAAGTTATTTTTATATTTAAATAAAAAAAAAAGTGTATGAAAAAAATTGGTATATAAAGTTCCATTTTCCAAATTAATGTTGTTTGTTTGAGATCATTTTATAGTTTAGGCAAATATGCAAATATACCCAATAAATGACTAATGCTAGAAAACTTTTGTAATTGCAAAAAATGACTATTAACTAATAAAAATCGAGCATAACATGTGCAAATTTATGCCAAAAACTACCATGTAACTAATTGCGAAAATTCAAAAAATGCAAATTTAGGCCAAAACTACGATAATTGCGGAAAATTACAAACGTAAATGCTTAATAATGTGCTTGTTTGGGTAAGATACAAGCGGCTTGATTGGCAAGTGAATTTTTCGTATAATCCAAAAATTATTCAGAAAAATTTGTCATCTATTATAAAATGCTGAATATATATATTTTGCAATTTTAGTTTTTTTTTTCCTTGTTCTTGAATACTTCAACACATGTTTTGCGCTATAGTGGAAATTCAATCGTTTCCCTGGAGAACTTGAAAACCCTAATTTATGTCATTGTTTTGCAAAAACGAGTTAAGTGGGTTAATTATATCTTTAAAGGTTGATCTCTGGTGACATTATGTGCTTTGAAGTCTATTTCAATGTGGTAAAATTTCATAAATTTTGGTCGAGTCAATTTTAAAAAGGTTCGGTGTTTTCGAATTGCTGTCTGTTTCCCCCGGGCCTCTGTCCCTATCTGTCCAGTGCCCAGACCCGGGTCTGAGACCTGTTTGTGCATCCCCTATGCCCTGTTTCTGCATACCCCGTCCCCTGTGTGCCGTCCGTGCAACCCGCGAGCCGCGACCTAGGTCTGCCAGCGCCCGACCATGCCCAGCGTCCTCCCAGCGACCAGAGCCCGCACCTTTGACCTCTTTTGAATTGTTTTCCGATTTTTCCGAACCCGTTGACTTGTTTGACCATATTTGACCTCGTTTTTCCGTGTCGAGTAAATTTTAAAGGTTTTTAAAAATTAAGTCTCGAGTCTAGTTTTCAAAACCTAGTGTTCCAACTTCCACAGAAATTCATGAACAGCTTAGTCGAAAATGTTCAGCTAAGTATGATTATTTCATGATGTTATTCTAAGGGTCAAGACAAGATACTTATGAAAATATCTTGACTAAATGTAGGTGCTTGACGAGTCGTTCTCGTAGCCTACACAACAGAGCGGTAATATTCCATTCTGCTGAACCAGGTGGGTTTTATTTGAAATTGCTACGTAGTATATTGTTGCCTTACGTGTGGTATAATCAATGTATGCATGTGAACCATGTAGCCTTCGATGTAAGCTGTACCGGCCGTCAAACGGTTATCCCCGTAGCTATAGAACGTACCCGTTGGATAATCTCCTTTGTGGCCCGTAAGACCAGGGCATGGGCCTTTGGCTGGTGATCCCCGTTGTGAGACTAAGGCGAGGCCTTGACCGGCGGGGTGGATTTACTCCTACTAGCTGGGCATCGATGGAAAGCCCGAGGGGAATTTGATGTAAAAGCACGAGGGGCATTCGATGTAAAGCCCGATGGGCATTCAATATGTATTCCAGCAGTAGTCTATGCGTAGGTGTGCACATGAGACTTGATTTTATGACTTTATGATTGGAGATTGAGATAATTTTAATTGATTTGTATACATGTTGCGATCATACTTGTCTGATATTATGATATTTGTTTATTGCATAGTGGTGAGCACCACGGATTCCAAACGTGCCCACTCCCACTCTTTCTTCACAGATGCAGGTTAAGTGAGTACGGGCACGGCGGAGTGGAGCGAGTGGTGGTCGGTCTTTATAACCAGATTATTATTTGTTACTTCCGCTATTCTGAACTGATTTATGATGTTATGATTTTATGAAGTTGGGACCTTATGAGTTTATGAACTTGAGAATTTTACGATGTTTTGAAATAATGCTGGAGAGATGCCCCTTTGACACTGTGACGATTTTATGGGAACCCGGTTTGGGTAATTTGATGACTTATGATTTTATGAAACCCGATTTGGAAGGTGATTCTATGTCTCATATTATCGATATGACTGTTGATGTTGATTTTAAATGAGTAACGCCATAAATTTTTGAAATGAGTTTCAAAAATTAAATTGATTTTTCTGAAAAACCATGGATTTTCGTTAAATCAAAGTAAGGCGTTACAGTGTGTGCGTGTGGACTGGTGGACATCTGTTACCGGAATGCGGAGGCGACACGGTAGGCTGGTGGCGGGTGGCAGAGGCGAAGCGATGGTGGCGCCGTCGAACTGTGTGTGTGCGTGTGAGATCTGTGTGTGTGTGTGTGAGAGAGAGAGAGAGAGAGAGAGAGAGAGAGAGAGAGAGAGAGAGAGAGAGAGAGAGAGAGAGGGGTGGAATCCACTTTTTTTTTTATGAAATTACAACATTGCCCTTATAGTTATTTATTGTCTATAAAATAGTACTATAATTACAATTTTGTCACTGCATATTTGACCTTTTAATTTAATTTTGACTTAATCATGTTCATTGATATAATCGATCCAATAGTCTACAATTATTCTTATTTCTTTCACTTTCCACCAATCTCATATAATCCCTTCTCCCTATATATATATTAGAGTATTCTAGTGTTTGGACTTTGGACAACAAATGTCTTCAGTTATACATCGCACTTTGATATTTCAAATCAAGCTACTTTCCTAATGTAGACAAAGAGTGTTATGCAAAAGATTGTACAAAAAAAAAAGACGACATTTGAGTTGAGAGAATTGTGGTGGTGTGGGCTGGGGATAAGTCTCAACCTAGCAGAAAAGTAGCATAATCATGAACCCCTATCCTTTAATTTTTCAAGTAGAGATGCATTTAATCTATTTTCTAACCGTACGAGCTAAAGTGCTGTACTTTATTGAGACGGATCTAAGACAAGTGAGGCGTATTCTAAGGCTCACCTAACACTTCATTTTCGCTACGCAACTCATTTTTTCCCCATTTTTTCAACCTATATGTATGAATCCAAATCGAGTAGAAATTCACTTATATTTTCTGAGAGTACTAGTATGCTGGAGAAGGAGAACCATTTAATTTGCATCAAGAAATTAAGATGCATTTACTTGGATATTAAAAAGAAAGTGGTTTAATGGTTGGTATATATAGTTTGAAAATTTTCACCGGTAAGATGAAGCCCTTCACTAGAAATATAGCAATCTTGGATAAAATCAATCACAAAAAAAAAAAAAGAAAACGAAAAGGAATTTGGAATTGAGACCCATCACTACAAAAAAAAAATGTTATATTCCAACAGAAAATCCTATGGTAATATATTCCAATGGAAATTCCAACGGAAATTCTAATAGTATAGCTTCCGTTGGAATCATTCCAACAGAAATTCCAACGAAAATATTCTAATGATTCCAACGACTTTTGACCGTAGGAATTTCCGTTGGAATATACAATTTCCGTTGGAATTTTTATTTCCATCACCGTTGGAAAATCTACCGTTTGAATCGTCAAAATTCAACGGAAATTCCACTGGAAAACTCAGTCCAACATAATAACATTGAAATATACATTGGAATTGTTGTTAGAATTCTATTGGAATATAATTCTGTTGGAATTTCATCATTTTCTTGTAGTGCATGTCACAGCAATGATTTGTGAACTAACTTTAAAATTAGAGACCTTGGATTTTTTCATAACCAACATGCTATAGTATAAAGCATCACTTTAGCGGAAACATTATAAAAATTTCAAAACTTCAGATTCAGACTATATAAATTAAAAAGAATATCAAGAAAAGGGTTATTTTTTAACACGGGTCTAACTTATATGTTTTTTCTTCACCAAGCATTTTCCGTTGTACAATTAACTAAATCCTATTATTGGAATAAGTTAATAATCAGGTGATTGTATATGGAATGTACAGTAAAAAAACCAATCAAAACTCAACTCAACCCCACTATCTGTAATATTATCAATATAATTAAATAATATCAACCAATCATTCTTACACAACTTTAATTCACTATTCATTTACTCTCATAATTTTAACTAACCATCACTTCCAATCATTTACTCCTACTTTTATATCAAATTAACTTTAATTATTTTATTTTAAATATTATTTTAATATATCCACTAACAACTAACCATACCACTTTTTTAATTTTTTACTAGTTGAATTCATATCCAATCACGGTCTAAATAAAGCCAGTGTAATCGTCCTATACATGTTACATGCGTAATGATCAAATGAGAATAAGTAGCTACCTTAAAATTAGTAAGATTATGGTGCATGTTGAGTAAAATTATTGTGCACTTCTGCAACTTCATTATTCACATTTAATATCAATCGTGTTATGTTGTACTTGTATGCACATAGTCCAACTTGTGTTTTAATTACACCAAATTGTATTCACATTTTATGTTGTACCTAAGGCATAGGTAGGTGTAACCTGATTTTGCTCTCTAGCTAGTTATAGCATGTTATGGAACATAGATCCTATGTTGTACAATGGGCCCATATTTATTTATGAGGGTTTAGCAATTAATGCTCAATGTTAAACAGATGAGTGTTTTTTAGGGCTCCCCTTTTTACTCTTAAACCATATTCATGCGCACGCTGTTGTGTCTCTCTCTGCGTGTAGCAAATCGCTTGAAACAAGGATTTGGACTTCAAATTTAGACGTTTTTTGATAAGATAGTTATGTGTACACGCTTCTTTCGTTGTTTATTTATTTTTTCCTTTTATGGGGG